GCAATTTAAATGTTTTGATTTATAGTACTGACTCTTTTATAGTGATAATTCATAAGACCAACAATCATACAAACCATTTTTAAACATGGTTCTTAGAGATGTGTATTGCTTTTACATATAATTGAAAAACAGCAACCATTTAGGAAAAGCTCTTGAACACATGATGTTATTTGAAAATAGTTAGATTAGTAACTCTAGAAACGTTGTTTGGAAGAGTGTTTTCATTAAATTATTTAATGATCAATTTAGACTCTAATTATTCTTTAATGAATATACTAAAAGTTTAGATTAGTAACTCTAGAAACGTTATTTTGAAGAGCAGTTTCATTAAATTATTTAATGATCAATTTAGACTCCAATTATTCTTTAATGAATATACTAAAAGTTTAGATTAGTAACTCTAGAAACGTTGTTTGGAAGAGTGTTTTCATAAAATTATTTAATGATCAATTTAGACTCTAATTACTCTTTAATGGATATACTAAAAGTTTAGATTAGTAACTCTAGAAACGTTATTTTGAAGAGCAGTTTCATTAAATTATTTAATGATCAATTTAGACTCGAATTATTTTTTAACGAGTATACTAAAAGTTTACAGACTTAACAAATAATATTTTCAATTACCAAATTTTAATAATCATTTAATCAATTTGTGCTGGTTGAAAAAGAATTTTTAAAAAATATGGATGCTTAATTTTCATTAACATATGTTTCAAATTGATGCTCAGGTGGGAATGTTCACCCCAGTACTTGCCAAAAGAGTTTCCTCGTCCTATGAGTCATGTTTAAAATTGCAATTTTCGAAAGAACATTTTTTTCAGAAAATCACAAATAGATTGTTCAACAATAAACAACAATCAACAATAAACAATTAAAAAAAAGATAATGCTGATGCTAAGCTAAAGCTAATTAGCCACTAGAAGGATTCAGATTTCTCAATGCCATCTATTTATAATATTCTAAGGATAGAACGGTCGCTTCCAAATGAGGCGTGCCGCGTCTGAATCCCAGTGTTGGGTGGTCGATATGAGTTCCGCATCCAACTCGCACCAACCATTATGCCTACGTAAAATATCCTCAATATTTGATAGATTATGGGTTAGATTTCTCTTTCCATCGGACTAACCATGAAAGGTTTTCGTGGTTTTCCTAACCACGTAACGTAAATACGAGTTAGTTCCATCAAAAGTCACGAAGGTAAAATTTTCTCATTTCTTAATCCAGGAGTTCCCTTGTCTTCTGGATGGACTTCAAGATTACAAGTTGAATATTGGTGTACATTCTAAATTGGGTCTGCTGATCAACGATGATTATAAAATTATTGAACAAAATAGGAGTTTTCGCATATTATGGAACAATCTCATATTCATTCTATCTCACGCAATATAGTATAAAAAAAAAACATTGTTAACGTTGTATTTCGTACATATTTAATACAATAATACATTTTAGCACGCACAGATTTAGTATAAAAACAATTCATGAAATTTTATTTTTATGCGTAAAACGAAACATAACATGAATTGAAGAACGTAGAATCATTTAGTAAATATAATAAAAAATCGCTTATTCAATTTCATTACGCTATGTTTGACCAAACCATCAAAATGAAATCATTTCGTCGAATTCGAAATTCACTTTTGCTATCTACTACTAAGTCAATGAAAGATGACTAAAGCAAAGAGATCCCCATCAAATAGGGAATAAAAGATCTCAATTTTCCCGTCTATGCCAAACATTCCCTTCAGTTGATGTCCGAGTGCCAAACCTGATTCATTTCTGAGACAAAGGCAGCTTTCTATGTCAAAGGAATTTCGCCAAACTCTCTCACTCTTATCATTCAATGTAGTTCATTAGCTAAACACTCGCCAACCCTACATCCACTGCCTTGTCTCTAAACAGTGCAAATGAATTTAGAAACCCTCTTAGAATATATCTATTTATATATATATTCTACGCTCATGTTTGGATGGGATTGCAATTGAAATTCAAATAGTCGGTAGATCTGCAGGAATAATGAAAGTTGTTGAATTAAATTTGAGCTAAGAGTACTTTTAATTTCGAAATTGGTGCTAGATTTAAAGTGATTGTGACACGAAGAAGCGATTTCAATTTGGAAGTTTGGGTGTTGAAAAATATTTGCTTCATTAGAATAATGAGTCTACATCGGACTAGTTGGTATCAATGATAAATTAGATAAGGATAGAGGAAAAATATATATCCGTGTACTTTCAATTTATTGTGCACATTTTATCGCTTAAGTGTAGAAATCAAACATTCTGATGTGCAGATAAATTAGGATGATCCGTTAAGGTGCCAAATATTGTTTCATTTTCTCAAAGTAGCTAGGTTAAAGTGAAAATAAAATTCGCTTTAGTGAAAATAAGACCCTTTCTGAGGCAGCAGCAACGCTTCTGTACACTCAATTTACCATAATGTTATTTATTTATTTTTCTCTGTTTAAAAATTCAAGTTAATACAATTAATGCCTTAGTTGATAAACTTAATGGTAATCACTTTAAGAATCTGTAATATAAGAAATCAAATGGTTTAATTACTATTACAATTAAGGAAATCTGCTTATCTTTTATTTATTTTTCGATATCTAGATAATCAAATCAAAACAATTAAGAAACCAATTAATAGAAGGATAGAAACAAACTTCTGAACTTAAACGATATAATAGCCGTTAATGTGCACTTTATCTAAAGTAAAATGCTGAAAACGCTTGATTCTACACTTTAAGGGAGAAAATCAGTTATCTGCTGATTAACTTAGTAAAGTGCATGCTAATGACATTCAAGCTTTATCGAAGATAATTGTTATAACTTAACGTTATAAACTCTTCAATATATTTTTTTTAAAGTGGCACATATTTTAACCGAAAGTTATAATAAGTTGAATTGATGTAAAAAATTGTGGACTAAAAAAAAAAAAAAAACTCAAATTTATTTTAAAATAGCCTGGTCTTATATCTTAAAATACCTTTGTTCGAAAAACATATTTGATTAATTTTATTCGTCGAATTCTTATGCCATTGAATAAACTAGGCAGTTGTTTTAAAAAACAACTGCCTAGTATTTTTAGGCATTCTTTTGTCAAAATTCTATAAATTTTATTAAATGCAGTTTTCAATAAGCTCTTGATGGCATTAATGGGCAATGTTTAGTTATTTCTTGGTCGGGAAATTTTCATCTTTGTTGATTAGAATTAGTCTGCCCAGTTCATGAGATTGAACACCATAGGATATTTTTCTTTACTTTTTTGTAGTTTTTTAAATGTGTGTTTTTTTTTCAATTTAAAGTTGGGGAAAACGAAATATGCTGGAAAGCTTTGAAGACGAAATTTGGAGATTGTATCAATAAAATGTAGCCTTATTTGTGCAAATCACTTATATTGTTTACTTAATATTTAAAAAAAAAAGAGTGTGCTTTTCACTTACACGATATAATATTCCACGCATAGATTTATAGTGCATACTCTATGAATAAATGAATGAAACAATCACCGTTTTTAATAAAATATCCATGTTTCTATCAAAATTTCTTCTCGGTAAATGTTGGGACTCTCTGAAAAACGAAGCTGTAGCTTAAGATGTGATCCAAAATAAAAGACTACAATAAACCCTTCATTAATTTTTGTCAAATAGGCGTTTAACCCTTTGACCAATCTCATATTTGGAAGGGTTGAAGATGGAGAGTTAACATTTTAAATAGGCATTTAATCCGCATAATTTAATTTTTACAAATAAATTGATGGTTGATATTTAATTTAGTTGGCAGTATCTTTCGATACAATTAAAATTCAAGGCCGCCACCTAGTTAGAGCTTGAGATATATATATTTTTTTAATGGCGGGCACTTGGCATTTGTCCCATTGGTCACAGAAATGTCAGAACTGCAACTCTCTTCTCGTTACCCAGTGGGCACCTGTGGCGAAGCCACGGGCGGTGGAGCAGCGTTGCCCACGTCACACAGCCACAAACCCGTTTATAGGGCAGGTCACATTCACAGAAAGAGGAAAGGACATAGAACAGAGAGAGAGAAAGTACCAGCCATGCCCTGAGCCGGATTCGAATCAGCGGCCAATGGCTCCGCAGTCAGACAAGCTAACCCCTCGGTCACCTGGTCGGCGAGCTCGAGATATAAAGCGTGTTATAATTTAGAATCGCTTTTAATTTTTTCTGGCAAAATTAGACTAATGTGTTTATGAGTAGTTTTTGAAAAGTAGTTAAATGGTATACCTTTATTTGCTTATTATAATTTTTTATAAATATCTTCGTGCAATTTACGTTTTAAGAATCATCTTTCATGGCTTACAATCAGTTTAAATTGTAACAAAATTAAATTAAAAAAAATATGAAGTCTGTCAAAAGTGCAGTTTAAAAATACTGATTCGAAATCACGAATCTCAGATTTTTATTGCTTTGAAGTTTTAAGGAAACTTCCATTGAAGTTCTAAAAATTATCAAGCTCTATTTCTCCTGAATGATATTGTGCTGCTGAATAATACTACATCAAAAAAAAAAAATTGTAAAATGCAGAAAAATAATCTAAAGAAAACGAAAATCAAAAATTTAACCTAAAATCTAAGATGACGCGGGTTGAGTCTTCCCTCTATATATTCAATAAAATAACGAAACATAAAACTCTCATATTTTCAGCAAAATAATGAAAAATGATAAAAATTATGATTCTTCAAAAAAATATTTAAGCGTGAAGATAACATTTGAATTTTCTAAAACTGACAAAAGCAAATTGCCTATTAGATAAATTTTAAACTACTAGGAGTTAACATAAAACAACTTAATTATTTTATTTTTCTCTAAATTTAGCTTTTTCATATATTTTCTATCTTAAAAGCAGTTATTTATAACAAAGAAAGCAAATTTAAAAAGAAGGTATATAGATAGAAGTGAATACAGTAAATAAAAATGTTATTCCCAAGAACAAGTTTAAGTGTATCAATCTTTCCTTCGCCTCTTCTTTTCGTCTGCTTCCAAGAAATTTCCCCAAAAAACACAGGGGGACGGTTAAACTGCTCAACCCCTATCGCATCTTCTGTCTTTGTATTAATGATGCGAGACGCCTGATGCTTCTTCTATTTGCTTTCTTCACCCTTGAAATTTCTTCCAGAAACTTTTATTCTATTGGGGGACATTAAAGATCCTTGGGTTGCCTTTTTTACGAGAGTTTGAAAAATGTTTTGTCAGCGGTAACCTCTTAAAAACAACAGTGTTACCTATTGATTTGTTGAGTCTAGTTTACTGATTTGTAGTGTATTGGAAAATAAGAAACAAGACTCCAAAAAGGTGATAGTTCCTAAAATGAAAATAAGAGTTTCAGAAATGATAATAGTTCGATATTTGAAAAAGTAGTGGTGTTACGAGAAAATAAAATTTATGTTTCTAAAACGATATTTTCTATTATTATTATTTATTTGCTAGCTAGCATTAGATAACATTAAAGTTCTTTGCTGTTGGCTGCTGCATATTTTAAGTGACGAAATAATTGGGAAAAGATGAAATTTAGTTTAGTAAACAGAATCAGTGAGTATTTTTTGATCGATTAATTAGATTTTTTTAAACAAAATTTATTTTTTAATAACTCGAGATATATAAACTATTTAATGCAAATTGTCAGATAAATATAAGGTTGATGCTTGTGAAACTTGAAAATTTTTATTCAATAATTCTTAAAAACTGAAAATGCTTTAAAAAAATCTGAAAATAATCATATCTACTCTTTGTATGCTTAACTTTGTACACTTAACAAAAGGGAAATAAAGGGAACTCACTTTAATTATATTGGCTGTTAAGCCCATTTACTGGCTCAGAAAATGTCAAGAAAGGGGCATTTTTGCATACCAGGGGTCTGACATTTTTTTTTATAGTACTCCTGCTACAAAGTTCTAAAGACTGGTTTAGGCTTAAGAGAGTTCGTTTACTATAGTCATCTTATTATTACACTTAATAAACATCATCTCATTATTACGCATAAGGGGAGTTTTCCAAAAACTTTCAAATGTTTTCAAATCATAAATTCTTAGGGACTTAAAAAATTTGAAGAAAAAATTATTCTTACTCTTTATAAGGCACTTAAAAAGAGATAAATAAAGAGAGTTAACTTTAATAATGTTAGCTGTTAAGTCCATCTTTTGGCTCACAAAATGCCAGGAGCGTGACATTTTTCCTTATAACTATTCTTTATACAAAGTTCTAATTAGAATTTCAGATTTCATTTGCATATGATATTGCCACGTTTTTTTAGAATCCCCCATAAATATGCGGATAAGAGGAAACTAAGTATGGCAAACAGAATCAGTGAGTGACTTTTGATTTATTGTTTAGACTTTACTATAAAATTTGTAAAACCAATTTAGGACCAATTAAATATTTTATTTTGTATAATAAAACAGTATTAAAGAATTTAAAGACATAGTACAGTAAAAAGAGTCAATAAGTTACCTTTGATTTATTGATCAGATTCTATACAAAGTTTCTTTTGTATCTCAAAGTAGAAACTTTATTGTTTCTCAAAGTAGAAACTAGACTTCCTGATATCTAACTCTTAGTTAGAGAGTTACGACAAGACCTTCAAAATTGTCTGAAACAGCTGGATTGTGACAGTTGAAAAACAGTGGAATGGTTACCACACTTGGCGATGTCTCTCCACAATTTCGTTCTCTTCCTCCGTGTTGGGAACTTTTAGCATTCACAGTGATTTTAATTGTTATTTAAATTTTTTTTTTGGTATCATGTGACGTTTAAGTCAAATATATTTTAAGAATTAAACTTAAAAAAAGTATCATTTTAATTATAAGAGTAAATTATTAATAACTTTACAAAAATTAAATTTGAAAAAGTTTTATTTTTTATTTTTTTAACATAGTTCTTATTTCTTAAATAAATATTTTTATCTTAATATAAATGTTCTTCTCAGTTTATTTTTTTTGTTGCTAACTTAACGGATTCCTGATATCTTTGCGATAGAATCATGATGGATGAATGTTGTTTCGAGGGAATCCTTCAGTCAAAATTTAGACCATTTTCTGATTAGCTAGACCACTTAAGACAGTACTAATGCTCTGTGTCCGATGTCAATACAAGATTCAACCAGTTTTTAGCCACTACCTGCAGGACTTATCACAATACTACTAAAAATAAAATTTTCAGCCGATAAAAATTTTCCAATCTCCTTAAGATAGGCGAGAGCACTCAAAATTAAACTGAAGCTTTGGGCTGAATTACAATACTATTTGCAAGCATTTCACAACCGTAACCAGCAGAATTTATCATGAGATTATTGCTAAAGGAAGCTTATCGCTTATCGAATTTCAGTCAACTTTCAGATTAACTTGACAATATTCACGGTATGAGAGTTATTCCTTACTTGACGATTATGCAAATTTTAATCCTTTCCAAAACAATCAGAATTAATCACGGTATTATCGAAAAGTTAACTGATTGCTGGTAAAAATTTTGTCTTTCCTAAAAACTGGAGTGTTTAAGTCTGGTCTACAGATTCGAACCTGATTACAAATGAAATAATACTTATTTCCCGGTTGCTTTGTCACAAAGCAAAATGTATAGCCATATTATTTCTATAATAAATTTATAGTCAACCGAAATTTTGACTCCTGTCCGACTAGCTGGAGAGGTTACATTTTAAAAAGAGCTCTGTATTGGATGACATTTCAAGTTTTTATCGTTCACTGAACACTACATGTAGATTTTAGAATCATATCATCAAATAGAATTCGTACGCAATCTAAATTTTGAGTACTTTTTCTACTACTAGTTAAAGTGTTCTTAAATGAACTAACACTGTTAGATGGAAATGGCTGTTTCAATTATTTTTGACCCATCTACTCATAATTTAGATAGTGAAGTGAAAATCATCAGAAATATCAATTTAGACCAATTTCCTAATAGCTAGAGTGCCTAAATTTCTACAGGAGCTCTGTATCTGATGACTATAAGCAATCATTTTCTTAATAGTTCAAACTAAATTTATCAACAAGCTAAAAAAAAATAATCATTCGGCATTTATCTAAAAGCCACAAAACTGAAAAGTAGAAAATAATAAAATAAAGTAAAAGTTTTTAAAACTACGTTTTTCGAGTGAAAAGATGGAAAAATAATTCAATTTTTGTCATACGGAAAACGTAAAAAGCATAGTTTTCGTAATAAACTTCTATCACAAAAAATTCTCTTCTTCGTCTTTTGAAATTGATGTGCCTTGTTACTTTTTTCCTTTCTGGTTTGTTAAAAAAAAACAAATTATTCCACTTTTCATCCACTTTGAAACGCATAATTTTATTTTACTATAACTAGTTATTATATCCCAAATTCGTCCATTTTAAATTGTGACTAACTTCTATAGAAATTCTTTCTCTTTGTACCTACTGAATCTTTTAACTAAATAATTCTTTCATTAGAAAATAAAATTCATGCAAAGAGAAAATAAATAGAATGAAAATTTAAACAAAAGGAATATAGCACTTTGGGAGAAATTCTGAAACAGCACTCAATAAAATAGGTGAAATGATTTTTCAGTGTATAATATAGTAACAACATTATATTTTTTGAATATCAATATTGAAAAATAAAAAGTAATATACTATACAAGAAATTCTAAAAACAACACTCAATAAAATGCTAAGGGATTTAAAAGCTCTCTATCTTTACTTCATGGAATATATACTTACTATAAATCTAGATATTTATTTTCAATATAATCTCAGAGTAATGTAATGCACTTCTTTAATCAATAATGTATGAGTAACTTAAAAAAAGGACCTAAAAATAAATAGGTACTAAAATCGGGTATAAAATATAAACATTAAAAAACCAACTTACATTCCATAAAAATATTCAATAACCATTTCAGCAATAAAATAATCTAAACTTAAGGAAAATAACAAGACATTGATAAACCATAAACAAAAGCAATAACTAATCGCTATAATAAATTATAATTGGAAAATGAATAAACATGAGTTATTTCGGAATTGTTGCTATGTTATCAATATTTAGTTACCGTAAGATTCGTTTTTCTTTTCCCCAGCCAAGAGACAAAAAACTTCGCCTAAGAATAGAAAATTGTTGATGCATAAATTAAGCTCTTTAAATATTGAAATATAGTTTATTTTTAGTTTGTATGCAAAATTTTCTCCCAGAAATAATTTCTTGGAGAAAACTATCATTTTCTCAAAAAATTAACAATTTATACGCCGTTTAATAACATAAATAACTTGATAAAAGTGACAAATAGAGCTATTATACTTTTTAAAATCTAATGATTTAACAAGATAAATGATTTTTTAACATTGCATTTGTGTATGAAAGGTACTTTGAACAGTTAAGAATAATTTTAAAGGCAAAAGAAAAGAATATGCTCCCGAATTTATGAAATTTTGTTAGATAAATCACTGCATGTCGATCACTCCATGCTAAGTCTACGAGAAAAAGTTTCTTACATCTCGTTTTCTCTCGACCAATCAGAGAATGTAACACATATGTCGCACTTCTCTAAGTTAGATGGACGTAATTCTAGTAAGAACTATTTAGACCCAATTATTAATTACTTTACGATAAACATGAGCACTTGGAGGAAAAAAGTGAAAAAAACATAAAAATTAACACACTAAAAACAGAGTCAAGGAGTGACTTTTATTTATTGATCAGATTTTACTAAACAAAGTTTCACTTTCAAACCTCGATGTATATTGATTTAGGTAACTAGTATTAAATATCACTGGTATTTAGTAGCATTTTTTAATTATTTTATGTTAAATATAAATATGCAGATGAGAAATGTGGGAAAAAGATAAAATTTAGTATAGTAAGCAGAATCAGTACGTAACTTTTGATTTAATCATCAGATTTTACTATACAGAGTTTTACTTTTTATAGCTCGAGGTATAAAAACTATTCAGTGACAACTACCAATAACTTTTTTGTTAAATATAAATATGTGGATGAGAGAAGTGGAAAAATATAACATTTAGTTTAGTATACAACATCAACGCGAAACTTTATATACATTGATCAGAATTTACCAAGCAAAGTTTCATAACTCAAATGTATAAAAGCATTCTCTCACAAATTAATAAATATATTTGGTGTTAATAACTATTCAAATTAAATTAACTATAAATATGTTATTTTTCGCAATGGCGAAGACATAAAATGATGTTAAGGGAGTTATAAGCATTCGCTATTATTTGAAATTCTTATTAGAAAAAGATGATAATTTGGATATTAGTGAACTTTCGGAATTTCAACTTTGCGTTGTTAATAAATATTGAGTTGTTTAAAAACCACTATGAAATTCCCTTTGCATGATATTTTCTTTTTTGTAAATAAAGTTTTATTATATCTATTTAAATTTTCATTTTATCCATTCAATTAGTTTTGCTTCAATATATATAAAAAGAAAGTTTTGGCATGATTAAATTTATAAATGATTCCAATTTTTTACTTAACTACCTACATTTAAGAAAGTGTGCATATTATTTTTTTATTTAAGATTAATTTATGAGATAGCAACTAAATCTTAGCTAATACTTTAATAATACACAAATACGTAATTGTTGTAAGCGTAATTAAAATATTTCTAAGCAAGCAACCTTTAAAATATGCTTCGCAATCTGAAAACAACAGGTGGGAAATTTATCTGCATTGTTTAACTATTTTCGAAGAAACCTTCTCTTAAAAGTATTGATCGAAATAATTATTTTCTCACCTGCGCACAATAGCGACATGCAAGTTCCCCTGTTTTAATCCTTTAAGTTGACAACAGGAATTAATTTCTCCTTTGCAGCTATTGGTTACCTGTTGATTCCGCTAGTGACGTCATCATCGACAAACAAAATGGCGAACACATGGGAATATTCTTTAATGTTTACTTTGAGCTCTGTGATAACTGATACCTTATTTTTTAGAATTTGTTGATTCTATCTTTATTTAATTGCAAGTGAATTCCTGGATTACTTTCATGATTAAAATTAAAAATTTTATTTGATTCGATCGTTTTTTGAATAAAAAAAATGTCAAGAGAATAGTTTTTCTAACGTTTCGTTATTATGTAAATTATTTTTAAAATATTAGCAACAAAAATAAAAAAGTTTCAGTTAAAATAAGTATTCTTAAGTAATATTTAAATTTCTTGAAATTTTAAATTTTACTGTTTCACATGACTGCTGATACGCATTGCATATGATTTTTAAATTTTTTCTACGTGATTTTGTATCGCTTAAGTTTACAAATACTCTATTATCGAATCGTTGTAGAAATGGTCGTTAATAAATTAAAAATAATTGCCAAATTGCTAAGCACCTTTTTTCTTCAGTTAGTTTTAACTTCTAACATTGGTTTTGGCTATCTGACAATAGATGGTTTTTCAACTTCTCTTACTTACTTAGATTATAATAATTGCTTTGACACAATTTGATGTTGCTAAGAATATAGTGTTTCAGAATTTATGGTTTTAGAAATAACAATATTACATCTACGTTGCATCATTTGAGTACGATATCCTCAATTGCTATTTTTTACTATGATAAGAATTCTGTTGGTGCTAAAAATGTTTTGACAAAAATTATTATGTTCAATATAAAGGCAAAATATGCCTTTCTCTATGAATCGAAAAGATGGTACGGCAATAAAATAACATGTAAAATATTTTTATCAACATC